TTTGTATGGATGGTGATGTATATCTAAATGCAAAATATACCATTATAAGACAGTACTATGTGCTTAAAACAACGCAAATCGACAAATTTGTTTCTTCGGCCACACTAAGGTTTGAAATCCTCACCAAGCGTTTCCTTTGTTGTGACTTTTAGCGTTCAAGCAGATATAACAATTATAGCTGAATGGAGAGCTGGTTGCATGAAAAACTTGGTGTCTTCGGAAATATGTACCTGTATGTATCTGTGTACAGTTCTGTACATAAAATAAATTTGGTAATTTTTTGTTGAATTTGGTAACTTTTTCTGGTGATTTAGGCAAAAACTAAAAAAAATGTTGTGGCAACACTGTGCACAATGTACTTTTTGTTACAAAAAATTTCCCATGATAAAAGCATAGTAAGGTAAAACCGTTCTCTCAATGCGTCGGCCATGATTTTTTTTTTTTGAAGTTTGCCAACATTTTAAAATCGTATAAAATTAAGAGTAAAAAAAAGGAATTGTTCAAAGTTGTTGTTGTTTGAAATTGAAAATGAGAATGTGTGTGTGAGTTTGTGTGTAAAATTTTAAAATTAAATTGCTTGCAAACGTCAAGAATTTGAAAAATTCCTCTCAGCGGTTCTACCCAAGATGTATTAAACAAGGTGTGATTGACAACTCAGTGCGGCTCTCTTTTAAGGTACTATAATGTCAAAAAGTATAAAAAAAACGAATTAACCCTTAGTGATGCATGTATCTTGTCAGCATTGATACCCAAGGCTTTTATTTTGATTATAGTTTTGTTTTACTTACATTACCTGGAATATATGTTTTGTAAATAAAATAAAACAAATTGTTTATAAAATCGTTTTAGCAATTTTATTGTTGTTAATTGCCCAAGTTTATGCTTTTCTGCGTTTATTTTTATATTTAAATTTTTTATCCTAAATATTATTCGACACTTATAAAAGTATGATTTTACATTTGTTTCCAATTTTATATGAGTGCTTAACTCTAACAATTTTGAAATTAAATTTTTTTCATGCGAAATAGTTTGGGTATAAACGAGCTGAAATCACTTTCCTTGAAGTGGTTTTCACAAACGCGAGATGAGTCACGTAGTATAACACCACATCGCTGCCGTCTTAACTCGCAACTAGGTGGTTTAAAACATCGCACTATTTTCGTGTCCTGACTTCTATTGCATACAGCGCACCGTTCAAAAGTTTTGCTCCGTTTTATCTTGGTTTCCTTACATTAAATATTTAAGCAAAGTCGAACGTATTTACTTATTACCAAACTTTAAATGTGCTTAGTTGCTCTCCTCGGCGGTTTATCTCTTAACAATGTCACGCTTGTTAAGAACATTTTTTGCTTGAAAGTTTTTGTGTAAATAAAATATTTTCAAATGGTTTAACAATTCATTTGAATTTGACATTATAGCCTGTTTCTTATGAGAGCAATGTCAAAATCAATCACACTTTGTTGAATACATTTTGGTTCTACCCAAGGTGTATTAAACAAGGTGTGATTGACAACTCAGTGCGGCTCTCTTTTAAGGTACTATAATGTCAAAAAGTATAAACAAACGAATTAACCCT